AGCTAGATTTGGTCTTACAGTTTCCCATGAATGTATTTGGTTGGACTATCCACGGACCATAATTTTGGATATACTCCTTGAGGATTCTCGGCCTTAGTGTACCATGACTTTTGTTTAATGAAAATCATCTATCGTTGCATTAAAAAAAAAAAAAAAAAAAAAAAAAGTCATCTTTCGCGAGAATCGAACTAAAACCTCTAACTTACAAGTGAGAAGGAATATCACTATACCGTAGTACTAAGTGGCACAATAATGATTATGTTTGGTTTGCTAATTTTCGAGAGAAATGTTTAGCCCTGCTTGAAATGTTCTTATGGTGAAGACTTGCTGTTGTAGTTTCCGAATTTGGTTTATTGGTTGAAACGTGAGCGTTACTGAAGAAGTGGAGAACGAGTGAATTTCGAGTATGGAAACAGTGAGCGTTCCGTGAGTAGTGATGTAGTATTTGACAGTTTTTCTACGGCAGTATCTGTAGGGCTGTTGTGTCCGTTCTAGGGGTGAAATCACCAAGTGCAGAGCGTATATGCTTGTTTATCATGGTTCTGATTGAGGGGTTTGAATGTCTTAAAAGTAAAAACTGGGTCTTCAAAGCTCTATCCCAATGTGGCTTCTTATATTACAAGTTTGATCTTGTCGCCACTTTGTTGTCACAGCATTGTGAGTTTGCCGTATGGCGTAAATCTGAAATTCCCGGTGTGGTATGGTTTTCTGGGTTGTCTTCATCCATCCCCCCAAACAAGTGCTAGTCGAGCATTGATTCACTCTTGGTATTATGAGTCTCAATGCTCAGACTCTATGGTCATTAGTCTTTCAAAACCTATCAATTTGCAACTATGGTAGTGAGACGGGTTTGGCACCCATTCTTTTGGTTAGGAGGGGATTCTCCGTGAGGCTGTGGTCCTTGAAGGCGGGTTATCTTCTATCAGGGAAGTCAAGAGATAAAGTTGTGATTATTTTTGTAGTTCAAGATGTTGATAATGAGATAACTTATAAGGTTCGAGCAGAGCCACTCAAAGTCTGATGGTATAGTGCTTTAAAATTTTGCCTGTTGGGTGAGTTCAGTACTCGAAGCAGAGATGGTGCGGAATTCCAATTGAGGTAGGCCTGTCCTCTATGGACAATCAACAAAACACATTTTTCCATCTCTAGCGTTCTTTCCCTATTTTTTTACAACTTTTTAAAACGCATTTGATTGTGTGATCTATTGTTTGTACCATAGGTTGGGGCGTCAAGTCGTCATGGCCAGTCTAGTTGGATTTGGTTATGAGACTTCTTCAAGGAATCAAGTGATGCATTGTTATTTCTTATTTTCCAAAGATGGAATCTCTGGAGTTCCCGAGCGCTGCATTGTAGCTATTGTTTATGTATCTACTTGTTTTGATGAATCCTTCGCTTGCGGAAATGCTGATTGGAGCTGTTCAACCTTGCCTGGATTTGTTGTTGCTGATTTCAATGCCTACAGCATTATAGAAGAAAGCAGTGGCATGCGGTGTTTGCATGCCTTGATCGGGTGACTAAATGCCTCTGAGGTTTAACAAGTGATGCTAAACTTTGTACATGCAGGTGCTTTAGGCTTATTTCCAGCCTCTAAGTATTGCCGTATCCATTTGGAGATATGCAAGATATAATGGTTAGGCAGAACATAATGGGAGATGCCCACTGTAATCTATCAAATGGCGAGTATAAGCTCAAACTTGAATCGAAGGTTACTGGGGAGGCCACTGAATTGCTAGAGAAAGGATACATGCAGTATGGGTAATTATTCTTACTCATTTCTTTGTTGAATTTCTTTTCTTATTTGGTTGCCACGAAGATAACTTTATGATGGTTTTATTTTTCCAGATGTCCACACTACCAGCGAAGGTGCAGTATTAGAGCTCCTTGCTGCAATGAGATTTTTGATTGTCGCCATTGTCATAACGAAGCTAAGGTGAGTATTTGATTTTAAACGGTTTCAGATTGTAACTCATTATAAACACTTGTGTCAATTGTGTTGACTTTTCATTTTGGTGTGCAGAATGATATTAGTGTTGATCAGAAGCATAGACATGACATGCCGCGTCATCAAGTGAAACAGGTAAATCCGTTTATGTGTTGGTGCATCTCCTTATCTTTGCTTCTTAATAGGCTAACTTATACTGTTCTGCTTCGTAATCTGACAAAATATGCATGATATTTCAGGTGATATGTTCACTTTGCGACACTGAGCAAGAGGTGAGTTTGGGTTATTGACAAATTTATTGCTTTTGGATTTGTGTCAAGTCCTTAATCAAGATAGTTACAACTGTGAAACTAAGTTGGTGTAGCAGAAAAGAAGATGCTTTAGGGTTGAGAATTTTGCTCGCATTTTTCTCAAGTGTCTTTTGTATGCTCTGCTTCTTTACCAGGTTCAACAAGTTTGTGTCAACTGTGGTGTATGTATGGGGAAATACTTCTGTGAGACTTGCAAGCTATTTGATGATGATGTAAGTGCCTCACTTTCTCTAAGGGTGTTTTCGTTTTCGATTATATATGATTAGGATAGTGGTGTAAGCCTGGCATGGGAAATTATGATTCATTTAAGTGTTGAGCTCGTGCAGGCAGATAAACCATTTTTGTTTTGTTTGCAGGTATCTAAGAAACAGTACCATTGCAATGGCTGTGGGATTTGCAGGTAGAATTTCCATATACTTGTTATAATTGTCTTTTTGAATAGCCTGGCGACTGAACTGTCATTACCTATTATGCAAGTTTCACTTCCGTATTATTTTTTGGCACCAGAACGTGATGGTCTTTTTAATCAATATGCTTTTTGAGGCATCGGTCACTCATGCACGTTTTCTTGTCTGCCTTTACCATTTTCTTTGTAGTTTTACGTGCCACCGAAATTTTTAATTACTGTTTCACTCAATCGGGTGCTCTTTTGTGACAGAATTGGGGGGCACGAGAATTTCTTTCACTGCTACAAGTGTGGTAAGCAATGCCTGCCTGTTATTTTCAAAGAGATTTAGCATCCTTCTTATCGTCGCATTACTGATGTAAACCAACCTTCTTGCCAGGTTGCTGCTACTCAACGCTGTTGAAGAACAGCCACCCCTGTGTGGAGGGAGCAATGCATCACGACTGCCCTGTTTGCTTTGAGGTAAGACTGGAGTTTTGATTTTATCTGCGTATGAGTTATGACGGATACTAAAGTATTCTGTTTTGATATTGTTGATGACTTACCGAACATACATTGGTGTTTTGCAGTTCTTATTCGAAACAAGAAATGATGTTACCGTCATGCCATGTGGGCACACAATTCACAAGAATTGCTTAAAAGAGATGAGGGACCATTATCAGTGAGTATATGACGGATTTCGTCTTTTGATTCCTTTTGTTTACCTGATTGAGCATCATAAGTAGAACTATCCAAGTGACCCGGTCGTTCATATTTGATGATAGATATGCTTGCCCTCTTTGCTCCAAGTCAGTTTGCGATATGTCTAAGGTATGGGAGAAATATGACATGGAGATTGCAGCTCAACCGATGCCTGAACCCTATCAAAACAAATTGGTACTCTCTCTCTCTCTCTCTCTCTCTCTCTCTCTCTCTCTCTCTCAACGTTTTCCTAGTGTGTTAAGTATTGTGGTTAGAATTCCTTCTTATTTGATCCTATCGGACAGGTTTCGATCCTCTGCAACGACTGCGGGAAAAGCTCACTGGTGCAGTACCATGTTGTGGCCCGGAAATGTCTGAACTGTAAATCTTACAACACTCGCCAAACGAGAGGCTGAGCTGGTGGCAATGTGGTTGCAATCAAATTGGTTTTGGCATTGATTGTCTTTGTGCAGCTGCGGATGTGTCACGAGACTCGCAACAAGGGCTCCGGACTCTATGGAACCCCTGGCCGTATCGGTGGTGGAAAGAAGGGAATTGTGGTCCTCCGTGTTGTCTTCTGTTGGAGTGCTCTGGCCAGGGGTGCACCGTCGTGTTTCATTTGATTGTATTTTCTTGTCATGTTTTTGTTTGTGTTTGCTTTCCTTCGTAATTAACGCAAGAGTAGCTGTGATGGTTTCTCAAGTTACCGTCTGAATCTTCTTTTCTCGTTTCTCTGTTTCGATTTTGTGCGTCGTCCTCTTCTGCCCTGTACAGCCATTACGGGGGGGTCTCAAGGTTTTAGAAACAGAGCGAAGTGCGCTAAAAAAAAGAGTTTATTCCTAAGACATTTCTTTGAATCCGTGGCGGACTTCTTGTCTTCAATCAAACTATGTTGTTAATATGTCAACAGATATCGATATATTTAAGCAGTCTGATAAATGATATAAGAGGATTTTTTTAGCGATGTCAACGTAACCTGTTGAGATTTGCTTAGTACATATTAATTAAACACTTGGTGGACATAAAAAAAAAAACCATTTCTAAACATTCAGAAAGTTCTTAAACACTTGATAAATAATATGTATTTTTCAAACTCGTGGTTAGTCCTCAGACCACTTTGGTCTTAATGTACATCCGCCTTGCGTCGAGATGCATGGATTTGGAGTTAATATGTTGTACCATACATTAGTTGCCCTCTAATTTAATCATACATTCTCAATGCCTCTACAAATTGATGACTCACAGGTCACAAAATATACTTTGTCCGAAAATTTTATTACTAGTTGACGTGTTATGATATATGCGGGCAATATAATTCACATATCTTGCACGGCACAATAATAATAGTTGATGTGTTATGATATATGCAGACAATATAATTCATATATCTTACACAACACAGTAATAATAAATGAATTGAAGAACTAATCATAATTATCACATCTATGACCTAAACTAATCATAATTATCAAATCCATGAACAATAATTTTTTTCTTTAAGGGAACAACTGGTGGTAAGTCATGATTATTCACTCATCCCGGTAACCGAGAATACCTACAGAGACATTAGGAAAAAAAAAAAAAAAAAAAAATCTTATCTGTAAACTTACAGATGCTACAAAATGAAATTTGGAGGGAAGCGACGGCCAAAAATGCAAGGATGGCCGTAGCCATTCCTGCTCTTCTCTCAAGCTTATCTTCCACACAAAAAACAACCAAAAATGAAGTCTTTAATCAAACCACCCGAGGATCAAACTGCGCCATCACCTTGTTGAGATCCTGCTCAAACCTCAGAGAATTCGCACCGATCCACGCCCGATTAATCACCACAAACCTCATCCGTGACCCCTCCACGGCGAGCCACGCTCTCTGGTTCTTCATCACCATCGAACATTCTCATCATGCTCATCAAATTTTCAGCCAAACCCACGAGACAGAGACCGTTATTTGTAACACCCTTATGGAAAACAAGCTCCGAAATGGAGCTTTTAGAGATGTACTTGTAACTTACTGTTATATGGTCAGTGAAGGAGTGCCTTTGGATGCATCCACTTTCCACTTCTTGATTCATGCTTGTTCGAGGCTTTTGGCCTTTCGACACGGGACAGAGATCCATGGACGGATTTTGAAAAATGGGTTGGGGGACAATAGGTCCCTGGTTAACAATTTGATGGGATTGTATTCGAAATGTGGGAAGGTGGATGAAGTGCGGCAGCTGTTTGAGGTATTGCCTGAGAGAGATGTGGTTAGTTGGAATACGATGATATCGTGCAATGTGCGCATGGGAATGTGTTGTGAGGCTTTGAGTTTGTTTCAGGAAATGCAGGCTGATGGGGTCAAACCCGATGGGATTACGATGCTTAGCTTAGTTTCGGCGTGCGCAAAGCTGAGGGATTTGGAAACGGGGGAAGAGTTGCACCGGTATATTGAGGAGAATGGATTGGAAATTGGGGGGAATTTGATGAATTGTATGGTGGATATGTATGTCAAGTGTGGGAGAATGGATAAGGCACTTGAGCTTGTTGGTAGAGGAAGCTCTGAGATTGATATTGTTTTGGGGACTATTATGGTTGGTGGGTATGTGAAATTTAATGAAATATGTGCTGCTAGGCGCCTGTTCGATCAGATGGCAGAAAAGAACTTGATTTCATGGATGACGATGATTTCGGGTTATGTTCAAGGAGGTTACCATAAGGAAAGTCTGGAGTTGTTTAGGCAAATGAGGGAAACAGATTTGATCCCAGATGATGTTCTTATGGTCACAGTACTTTCGGCATGTGTTCACGTGGGAGATTCCGGGTTAGGCAGATCCATTCACGGTCTGGTTGTCAAATATGGAATGAATGTTGAAGGATTTCTTGGGAATGCTCTGATAGATTTGTATGCCAAATGTGACAGGCTGCCCGAGGCTTGCTTAGTTTTTGAGCAGTTGCCTTGCAAGAGTGTCGTTTCGTGGAATTCGATGTTGGATGCGTTTTGCAGAAGTGGAGATGTTAGGAAGGCTAGACTCTTCTTCAATGAGATCCCTGAGAAGGATGTGGTCTCGTGGAACACCATGATCAACTGCTATTCTATGTCTCATCGATTCGGGGAAGTGTTTGGGTTGTTCCGTAAGATGCAGAGTTCAAATGTACAACCCGACAATGTCACGTTAGTCAGTGTACTATCTTCCTGTGCCAGTGTTGCAGCCCTGAATCATGGCATTTGGGTTCATGTCTACATAAAAAAGAAACACATTGAAGTAGATAACATGTTGGGAACTGCTCTGATCGACATGTATGGAAAGTGCGGATGCATCGAAAAAGCCTACGAGATATTCTCAGAGATGGCTGAAAGAAATGTGTTTGTGTGGACTGCTATGATAGCGGCACATGCCATGGAAGGGCAAGCCATGAAAGCTATTGATCTCTACACAAAAATGGAAGCCCTATCAATAAAGCCGGATCACGTCACTTTCGTAGCTCTTCTATCTGCTTGTAGCCATGGAGGCTTAGTCAATGAAGGATACAGATACTTCAACAAGATGAGTAATGTCTACAACATTGTTCCTAAGATCCAGCACTATGGTTGTATGGTTGATCTCCTAGGTCGCGTCGGGTGCTTAGACGAGGCAGTAAAATTCATCGAAAACATGCCCATTAAACCAGATATCTCTATTTGGAGTTCCTTGTTGAGAGCATGTGGAAGCCATCAGAACGTAACCCTTGCAGAAAAAGCATTTCAGCAACTCATAGAAATAGACCCTCAAAGTGCTTCTGCTTATGCTCTTCTTTCCAACATTTATGAAAAAGCTGGAAGATTGGATGACGTGAGCTGGGCAAGAAAGAAGCTACATGAACTAGGAGTGAGAAAGCAGCCAGGATGCAGTCTGATAGAACAGGATGGAAATGTACACGCATTTACAGCTTGGGATTTTTCAGACCCTCAATCTGCTGAGATTTATGCAATGCTGGATGAGATGAAGTGCTTACTACAAAAGCAGAAGCCGGAAGAAACTTCAGCTTACCACAGTGAAAGACTGGCAGTTGCTTTTGGTCTTATAAGCAACCCTCCGAGAACTCCAATTCGAGTAGTGAATAATCTGCAGATATGCAGAGATTGCCATTCAGCTATGAAACTGATATCACAGGCGTATAACAGAGAGATTGTAATCAGAGATAACTACAGATTCCATCGGTTCGTTGACGGAAACTGCACTTGTAAAGATTGTTGGTGAATTCATATCATAATTTCAATCTATATGCTCTACAAACTTTCAAATCCATCCACTCTAAAGATCAATCAAATTTTGCTAAAAATCAACAGTGCTCCGAGGTATTGAATACTCCGCTACTTAGAGCCATTAGATCCAATTCAACGGCTGTTATTCAATACTCCGGACTACTTGTCCAAAACTCGAAGATGAAGAGAAAGACTTGTATGTAATAGTACTACTTTTTATATATTCAGTCAAAAACTGGTTCAAGATTACACAGCAACTCTGGCCGCAAGAGAGACTAAAGGCTGAAGTAGTAAAAATGGGGAGCCAAAAAAGGCGGCTATCGCCCTTTTACTTGAATTACAAGGAAATATAGTACTTTGATGGCATACATCAAATGTCTCATTTTATGGAAAGCAAAACTAGTTAATTTTGAATCCTATCATCCACCAAGACCGTGAAAGCTGAAAACACGATTAGCAAACGAGTGAATTTACAAAACGATCATCCATGGCTGCCGGGCGACGCCCATAAACAGCTCTTTCTAAACGGATGATCAGCTGCGTCTGCGAGAGGCTCGTCAATCACAGGCATTGTGGCTGAGGATGAGAGGCATCTCTTATTTATCGGCAAGCAAGCCAGTTTCAAAAAGTTCCTCATCCGACTCAAGAGGTTTCCCAGAAGACTGGTGGTTGCATTTTTCCAACTCCTCATCAATCAAAATTTCCTCCGACCGGCAACTCAAACTGCAAAATGCTTTCTCACCCCTGCAAGAAGTCATATGATTATAATCATACTAAAACCAAAACTATTTAGCAAAGCTTTTGCAAATCATAAGAAGGCTAGCAGATGTGTCTGTTTCGGGAAATGTACCTGTATATGTATATATCTTTGCCCTCTTCCAATTTCTTGTTACAATAGTAACAGAAGCTCAGGAAATTGTCTGAAGGGTAGTGACCAAAATTCTCCAAGCTCGAACCCGGGTGGGCAAATACAATTTCCTCTTCCACATTCTTACCAAAATTGTTCACATCCTCAGAGTGACATTCCAAAATGCAGTCACCAAAGATGTGAGTTTTTTTGGGATTGGCACCATGGGAGATTACACAAGTATAATCCTCAGAAAGCTCAATCTCACTTGCTGAAAGAGACCCGACAAACCCATTGCTAGACTCGATGGATCCAGTTTTCATTTGGGTGGCTAAATTGGGGCTTCCTCCAATAAATTGATGGGTGGTTAAATTTTCCGGGCAAAAATCTCCAGAAGTGGAGTTGGGGTTAAGGTTGCTCAATCCTGATAGGGTCGAAAATGCTCTACCAGAATCTAATGAACAGGACCGGATTTTCCCGAACGACTCAGGTTCTGATGGGGCTTCTCCGATTTCGAAAAGAACATCAGAACTACCCTTCTGTAAAGGAGATTTGATTTTGGAATGAGGGGAAATTGCATAGTTCTTAGGCAGAGATTTCGGTGAATAATCAAAACACTTGGCATTGGACTGAGGCTCTGGGATTTTATTAATCCTCATTCCGGGTCCAAAAAGAATGTTCTTACTCTCAGATGACTGAGGAACTTTCCCGAAAATTTTCACATCATCAATAGAATCTATGATGCTTAATCCTACTTTACTGCTACCCCAGCTCCTCTGCTGCCCCCCATCATGGTTGGACCTTGGGGACCTAAAGGGGTAACCTAGATTGGAAAAGACCCTAAAATCCAGAGGAGAAGTTGGGCTCCTAACTGCATCATAATCTGATAAACCCTTATGACTCAACCCCACAAACAGACCAGGAACACTGAAAAAAGAGTTGCTCTTAGGGTTGTGCCCTAAAACATCAGACCCAGCAGCAGCATCAGAAATTGGCAGATGACCCATTTGGTGCTGATCCTTCTGAACGGACCTGCTTCTCTTCCTCAGCATTCTCTCAAATTTCCCCCTTTTGGAAAACCAAAAGCCCCCTTTTCTGTACCCAAAAAAAAAAAAAATCAACAAGTTTTACAAATCAATAAATACATTATTTCTACCATATTCAGAAGCTAACTAATCAAAGATTATTCAACAGCTAATAACCCATTAATCATCTGCTTAATCCATGAGCTGCATTGCAGAAATAAAGGAAAAAATACACAAAAATCAATAAACCTCACACATACACAAAGAACTTGATGCCTTTCAGTTGAAAGATATATTTCGGTGGTGGTTTTGGCTCACCCAAATGAATAATATAAAGATTTTTATTTTCCTTTTCTTTATTGGGTAGATTATTAGAGAGCATTTAAGGGCGTCTGGAATGACAGAGAAATATCTAATCAAATCCAAGGCAGAGGAAAAAATGACTTTCTTGGTAAAAACTCAATGTAGGGAGAAAAGGGGGTTGAATCCCTGAAAAATCATTAATGCATTACCAACAAATAATTAAAATCAACTTAATTAATTGCAACAGAGAAAACCCAGATAGAAAAAACCCTTTTAATCCGATCAAACATGCATTAGAAGGCGATTAATCCCCCAAGAAAAACAAAAAGCTTGAATCTTTTAGCTCAATCCGCAAAACCCAGAAAAAAATTAATAGAATAAACGGATTAAACTCGAAGAACCCAGCAATGGATTCAAGGAAAAAGAGTAACTGAGATGAACGATGAGTTAAAAGGAGGAAAAACCCGCCTGGGTTCTTTCTCTCTGTAGCTCTGGAAATTTCAGCGAGATGATGGCTCCGATGGAAGAAGAAGGCCCAAATGTAGTAAATATATGAAGTTTTTGACAATCGATGTTTCTATCTGTGTGTGAAACTTGTTTTCCACTCCTCTCTCTCTCTCTCTCTCTCTCTCTCTCTCTCTCTCTCTCCCCTCTCTATTTCGTGCCTCAAAATCAGCGAAGCAGTGAGCTTCTGAAATACTCCTCACTCTCTCTCTCTCTCTCTCTCTCTCTCTGACCTCGCTTTCTCTCTCTAGAATAAAATTATGTCCGTCTGCAACAATGTATTTTTGCCCACAGAAATGGCTTTTGTACGTATTTTACCAGCATCTGCCCCTACATACATCCCTTCCTCCTCCTTCTGTTGCCACGTCAGCACCAAAATGGTTTTGGACCACTTTCTGGTTTATTTTTGGGAAATTTCGAAAGAATGCACGTAAAAAGTAACTGAGATAATTATTTGGAGTAAAATCCTTTCAATCTCAATCTAGGTGATAATCAACTTACATTGAATTGTGTGCCGCTTATAGTGATTAAGAGTGTTTATTATCACTTACGAATCTATTGGTTTGCATCTTTTTTTTTTTAGATCTATTGATCAAAGTTAATCTACATTGAATTTCGAATAATACGTTAGTAATGGAATTATTTTTTAAGAGCTTATGGTGCTTCTAGTATAACAGTTACTGCCACATTGTGCGTAAAAGTTTAAGTTTCGTCCTTCAGCATTTTTAATCAACAATAACAATGGAAGATATTTCATGATCTATATTAATTACACATTAATCAATTTTCACTTGTGTACCATGTATTAGCTTCAAAATTAGATTTAACAAAAGAAATGTTTTTTACACGTTCATTTTTCTTTCTAACCTTTGAATAAGTAAAACAAAAATCAACTATTAAGATCAAACACGAAATAGTAACTTTCTTGTACAAGAAAAGGGGAATTAGGTATTTTTACGAAGGAATGGTAGTGGTAAAAGTAAAAAATGGTGGGATAACTTGGGAAAATTTTTAGGTGTACCGGGTACACCAAATTTTTTTGGTGTACCCTCACTCATTAGGATTTTTTTGGTGTACAAAAAGTGAGGGTGCACCAAATTTTTTTGGTGCACCCTCACCATTATGAGTGAGGGTACACCAAATTTTTTTGGTGTGCCGGGTACACCGAAAAATCCCTCGATAACTTGGTAATAATTGGACTAAATGTAAAGTACTGGTGAGGGGGTGAAATGGGTCAAAGGGGCAATTAAGAAAAGAGAAAATTGGTTCAGCACTTTTCTCTTCACCGTTTCTTGATGAGTCATCACAAGACGACAAATGAGTCATGGTTTCAATTATGATGGACTGACTAACTGACAGACCTTTCGTCCCAAAAAAGGGATTAACTGACAGACCCTCACGGCTCTTAACGTGGGCCGGTAGCTTGACTTGACGGAGTCATTTAACTCATTTCATTTTTATAACACTTGATTTTTTCTATTTTGGAAAGAGATTATTTTCGAATTTTTTTTATCAAGATCATCGGATCAAATGATTCAGAATTTTGAAATTTCATTCAACAGTCTATATGTTTGGATCTTTTAAAAGCTATAATAATTTTTTTACGGTTGAATGAAATTTTAAAGGTCCAAATTACTTGATCATGTGACATTGGTGGAAAAAATCCTCTTCATTCTATTTTTGTGGAAAATACGCTTTGGTATTTGAATTACTTTTGTTTCAAGACACTGTTCAATAAATATCTTTTAAACTCGGAATAAATGTGTGAATACTCAACATCGTAATGAACTCATTCATCTAAAAAACATGGATGCGCTCTTTGTGAATGTACCTTTTATCTAGCTTCCTTATTTTTCAGAGTGCCAAGAGAGAAATTAAAGTAACAATTATGCATGATAAGAGCATCCCCAATGAAGGCTTTATCCTTCATGAGGTTACCACATTTCTAGCCTTAGCGAAAACTTTCATCCCCAATGAGCCGGAAAGTGGGGTTAGATCCATCACTGGGGCTAGCAACTTCCTTTCTTGAGTAGTATAAAATCGGGGTAAAAAACAGTGGGTCCCACAAAAAAAAGTAGCTATCCATGTGAGCAAAATTCTATCAATTTCCCTCCACTTGCAAATACACTTATACTCTCCTTTTATTATTTTTTAAATTCTTTTTTATTATTTTTCTTGCAATTTGGCTAATTAATGATTGTTTTAAATTCCATAAAAATTAAAATTTCAAATTGATTTAACGTTCACGGGTATTGATGGTTGAAATTTTCAAATAATTTTTTTTCAAAATTGTATGATACTAATTTACCAATTGGTGTTAGGTAAATTGTTGTGTTATACGTAAAAATCAAATTATTTCAAAGGGCGAAGTGGGGGTTTGTTTATTTCAACGGATGACATTGAGATAAGGGAATCTAATCCAATGAACGATTCATAAGTGATGAAATCTAACTTTGTCATAATTTGAACTTTTTAGCTTGAATGGTTCATTAAAACAAAAAAAAAAAAAATTAAGATAGCACGTCCAAAAATCAACTTAAGAAAAGCTAACACAAAAAAAAAAAAAAAAAAAAAAAATCATCGCTTAATCAAATTGCAACATAAATAAGTATATATAACCTCATATAGAGCCCGAAAGATATAGCCCCTCATTGTGAGAGATTCTTTTATAAAGCCCCAAAGATTCCTCGAAGCTTTAAAATGGACTATATCCATCATTTTTCTAGCCCCGTATAGGATGCTCTAACTTTATTATTTGTTGAAACCATCACTTTTTAGTGCATTTCAAGTGTGTTTGTTTAGCCTCACTAATAAATTAATAATCATTGAACTAGACTGCATTAGGTATTGGTCTAGTCCTTTGTTTGTTCCGTGTTGAGATTAAGATCAATGAAACTAAAGGGGACTCGCACAAGGAAAAACCCTTCGCTAGGAGATCTTAGCACCACCCCACCCCCCCCCCCCCCCAAAAAAAAAAAAAAAAAACCATGGGACCTCCAAGACCTCCCTCCTTTTTGTTTGCTATCTGCCCTCCTACCCGTGTTGTGTGTTTTCTGTCCACAATCTAGCTCCCTCCTCATTGTTTGCTCTCTGCCCTCCTGCCCGCGTTGCATGTTTTCTATCCACAATCTAGCGAACACTACCAGACCACCACACTATCTCCCCTCTCCACGTTCTGCTTGACGACAGTGCCTCCTTGGGTGAGCAAATCCAAATTGCCATTCACCAAAAGCTCGATGCCAACTCTCATCTACGCGTTCGTGCTCAACCACACCATCTGCAACTCTAACGCCTGCATCCATCGACAAATGTTTCATCTCGTTAGGGTTCATTGGGTTGTGCTCGGTTCCTGAATTTGAAAAGGAAGACAAAAAGAAAAGTAAAGAATAAAAAGGAAGGAGAAGCATCTGGAAAGAAAGAGAGAGAAAAGAAAAAGAAAAAGAAGGGGGAGAGAATTAAAAAAATGACAAATAAATATTTAGGTCGTAAAATTAATTTAGCCCGTGATATTGTCTGATACTGTACTGCGATTTAGTTTGACATTGTATCAAATGCCTTATTATTCTTATGCCAGTTAGTTCATGTTAAGTTAATTCAACTTAGTCTCTGAACTTAGTCCAATCCAAGATAGTCCGGTAAAACAAACACATCCTTCATGTCTAGTTTCTATTAGCTTCAAAACAATTATGTTATATTTAATGGCCTCTTAGCTTCAAAAGATGGGCAAAGATTGAAAGAATTAGATCTATTTGTCAATTGAAAAATGTTAAGGGGATTTTCTCAAAAGTGTAATTTTCCTGGACTTTTTGTAATCTCACAGTAACGTTAATTCTCATGCTAATATTATAAAACATTGTACAAAAAATATGAGGTGGTAAAAAATTCATAGAGAGTCCCATTAGCATTTCTCCAATCAATTTGTCTTTAAACTTGTATTGAGCTATCTGACACACCCCAACCAAGATCAGGGCATGCTGGCCGTCACGTGGAAGTGACGTAGCCATGTGCACAGTGTGGAAGCTAAAAACCGTAATATAAAAGTACGAATAATTTAAAACTAGCAAATATAATGTGATAAAGTATGTGCTAGCAAAAGTAAGACGCTGAATTCAGAGCTTTAAGCCTACAGCAGTCCAAAAGAAACAATACAACAAAAGTGCACCCGAAGGTGACCCTACGTAGGTGAGTGTCTGTCAGAATGCCGAGACGTCCTCCGGGAAAACCACCAAACCCGCTAAGCTACTAGAACCTGGAGGGGCGCAAAACAAAAGCGTGAGTGGGCAAAAACCAAATCTTTGAAAATCATTTCATAAAATGCATTCTAACCCCTCGCCGTAAAACCTGTATACTTCCCAGAAAATAAACACATATATGTAGATATGCCAAGTCATGCTCAAAGGTATGCCATCTCGAAACCTCATAACAACATGCAAGTGCTCAGGTATAACTCACATCAATAGCATAATAAACTGGCAGCCGGAGTCCCCTAAGTGACCTGTACGGCTGAATCTAGAGCTCAAATCTCGACTAAATCACTAAACCTGCCCACGAGTCGGAACCACCTATAGTGGTCTGTACGACAGGCCTGGGTGCAATACATATGAACGCTCTAGTGCTACGATCACGTGAAGGCTGTGCGAATAATCGCGGGTCACCTACGAGTCGGAACCACCTATAGTGGTCTGTACGACAGGACTGTGCACCTAACTTGGATTCAAGCTGAGCGTGTGGTGCGGGAGGTGAACAACACGTGAAGGACTGTGCTCTACTCGGGGCGGGAGCACTAACACCGGGGTACAAGTTATGAGCTCTCTAAGCACCTCGAATCATTATTTAATGCGAATGTTAAACAACGCTTACCTGGCACTTACCTATGCCTCCACAGCACCAACAAATATATAGGTGACATATGCATAATCGAATGTATAATTAAACGTATATGCCACTAATCATGCATAACCATCAATCATATAAAAATAATGGCGTAAAACGAAGCATTTATACTAATTTCTGGGAAATAACATGTATATAGGTATATACGGAAAACAAAAGCCCACTCACTGGTATGTGGAAGGGTCGTAGCCCCCTGCCCCGAATGTGCACGCTCGTCCTCGGGATACGTGTCACCTATATGCGAATTAACTATAAAAACGTTAACTTTAAAGCACATAACCGTCCGTTCAAAATAACTTCTCATACATTGCTCAAAATGGACAAATGAATATACCAACGTGATCTACACAACCTCACGATCCCACCCATATTTTTAAAATAAT